AGTAAATTAAATTGTCCACAAGAAACAGAAAGAACATCTCAACTATGGCTCCCTCAACGTCTTCTCCATCAAAATTTTCGGAGATTTCAAAAATTTGCCTAACTTTATGAGTATTCCAAGGACGTACTCACTTTTACATTTTTGGATTTTTTAAGAAAATACCTTTGCAACATTGATAAACGTGACATCAAACTCAAGGAGAGCAGCAACACGAGAACATCATACATGTCGTATTTTTGATAAAAATATTTATTAGTTGGTAACAAAAATTAGATTTTTAATGTCCTTATAAAACAAGGCAAATTTCGTGAAATCCTTGAAAATTTTGATTGAAAAGTCATTGTTTGAGCCACAGTTGAGTATTGCCAAATGCCATGGATTTTGCCATTTGTTATTTTTTGAGCGTATTCATGTATTCGGAAGTGCAAATTCTTCAACGAAAAGGTTATCATGTGTAAAATTTAATTTAGTTTGCGAAATAAAGGTCAGATTTGTATTCTAATACCGCTAAAATTAAGAAATTACAATTTTATTTGAAAAAATCTGAGTTAAGAATCACAAAAATGTTAATACCTCAAGAAAGAGTCAACATAGAAACCTGGTTCTTAATTACATTTTATTTAGTGAATTCACCAAGGCAGTATTGACAATTTAGCCTGCAACACCCTGTATGCTGTGATATACTTAAATGCTAGGATACAATGAAAAACCATGGAGAGAAATTCTAACATCGACAGTCAATGACCTAGTACTCGTTAAGAGAAGGATGAGTCGACAGACTAAACGAAAGAACTAGCAGAGTGCAATAAGCTAGAAAGCTGCTGTCTTGGGAAACAAAGTCCCCCACATCCTAATCGCCTTTCATCATCATTATTGTCAGATGTGTTCAATTTGTAAACATGTAGGATCAAAATAAATTATGCGACTGACTGAAACCGTTAAATTTTCGACTTGGTGTAAAGTGTAAAACAACCATATGACCGAGTGTGAATACATTTTTAATTCGGAAATTTCAAAGTTGACCGGCGACGCACTTTGCCATAATAGATCCCGGTACAAAAACCCAACTTCCTGGGAGCGAGTTTGTTTACCAAAGGGAAATCGAATTAGATTTGCCTGGGTGAAATTAGTTTGGCGGCCCTTTTAAGTCCTGTGACGTATGCGCGATTTCAATCTCGCCATAATAGAGCTTGCCCCTCCGCCCTCTAGCGTTCAGTTTTCCCGTAATAGGCCACCATCCAAAACAAGTTCTATTGCTGAGCAAAAACATTAATGCAGACAGGCAAAAATTCCACCCACTTGTAATATATCTTGATTTGTATATATTTTCATTTATTAATCAAAGTTTCGCGGTGTTGAACGTTTAATATGAGTCTTTGTTTAAAATAGCAAAAGAACACTTATAAATTGCTAAGGAAATTGAAAAAAAAAAAAAGAAATAATATCAAAGATGGACAGATAAAATTTGTTTTAATTTTGTTTTGGATTTTTAATTAACATTTCATTATTGCGTATTTCCTCCTCTTGCCTTAATTACAGCTCAAAGAATTCGCAGCATACTTTCTACTAGTCTGGAAATGTCACTTTGCTGGAGGTTAGCCCATCCTTCGCAAAGACTTTTTTCAAGATCGTGGAGTGTCAGGACGAGCTCTTATGCGACTTTTGAGGTTATCCAATAAATGTTCGATGGGGTTCAAATCTAGAGAACTGGCTGGCTAGGCTAAAGCCACGATGTTTTGTTGTTGAAGATACGTTTGAACTATGCGAGCGACATGTAGACGGGCATTATCGTGCATTAGAGTAGGATTATCGCTGATTTCACCAAGGCTAGGCTACGCATGATGATCTAAAATTTCATCCGCATAGCGAGTGGCCTAAACAACAGCCTACTGCTTGTGACTCTCCTTGGAGATTTCTGTCCACACCATCGCTGAGCTACGTTGAAAAGTTTGACTCTGAGAAAAATTACCGTCTTACGCTCATCTGGAGATCGCAGAGCAAATCTAACCTTACCTGTAAAAGGTACAGCATACCAACCGTCCAAATACCAATGGCTGATTCTGGCCATGTGTTGTGGTCAATTCTGGTCTTCATAACGGAGCGAAAAAACCATATTTTCCTACTGATTCAATCTTCTTTGAACAGTTTGTTCAGAAATTTGCACACCTCAAATTTCCTGTAGTTGATGAATCTCTCGAACAACAGTAAGGTGCCGTCCAAAATTCTGAAAGTCAAAGAACGATCATCCTATGGTTCTGCTACACTAGGGCGTCCAGTACCGGGCCTTCTATGGTAGGACCCAGTTTCTCGAAAACGTATAACGGCGTGTCGCGGTATTTTGTAGGGAAATCCGATGGCAATAGCCGCACCTAATTGAACGTCCATCATCACTAAGTGCCACGCCACGCGCAACATCCTCAGAACTAAGCGGCATTTTAACTTTAAAATGTGAAAATAAGAAAACAAAGATGTAAACTAAACAGTTTATTGCTTCAGGTTAAAAATGTATAAACATTTTAAATTCCGATAAAAGTAAACATGGAAAAATCCTTCATCCTTGTTTTGGATAAAGGATTAAGGGCATTTACCTCTAGTTGATGTTTCAAAATTAAAACAATTTGGCTGCTGGCGAACACACAGCAAAAACAAATATTTATTGGTGAAAACAATGAAACAAATTAAGGGCAGAATTTTCTTTTATCGACAAAATTATAAAAAATCAATTCGCGGAATTTTTCATTCAGAGTATGTACAAGTTAATTAATGCGTGGCAAGTGAGAAATTAATCACTGTGTTTAATTTAAACAGTAAATATTACTGATTGTCAACTAACTTCATTTGTCGTTGTGCAGAAGTGTAATTTGCTTAAAATGTTCCACAATTGGTGTCTATTTATCAGTTACTGTGACTGTATATTTAGGCTCTCCGAGAAAACGCACTACCAGCCTTGTATGAGAGACTGATTAATGAATTTACCTTAAACCTAATAATTCAATTTAATTACCCTAATAAATTTTGTTGTACATATGCGGTTTAAACAAGGCCGAAGTGTGTGAAACATTTATCTATTTACTTCGTATCACAGTGTCCTATCTCCCTGTTTTCTTTTTATCCTTAATTATTAAAGAATAAAAGTAAAAACATTCATATCCTTTTTTATTAATTTTATTTGGTGTAAAAATGCTTATAACAGTGTTTTTTTTTTTTTTTTTTTTTTTTTTTTTTTTTATTAAAGAATAAAAGTAAAAACATTCATATCCTTTTTTATTAATTTTATTTGGTGTAAAAATGCTTATAACAGTGTTTTTTTTTTTTTTTTTTTTTTTTTTTTTTTTTTTTTAACTAAAACCAATTATATTTTATGGCATATATTTCAGTCACTACGCATTTCGAGCCGTGGTTAGTTGTCTGTCTTCAAAGCTACAAAACATTTTTAGTTAAAGAAGCATTTATGGTTTTCAAAATAATATAATTTTCAAGAGGGACATGGCCCGAAATGCATAGCGATTGAAATATTTAGAATATATGGTATTAAAAAAATTGGTGTTTTAGTTAAAAAGAAAAATCTAGATTATGAAAATAAAGAATTGGGAAAGAAAAATGTCAGCCACGTATATATTAAGTTTAAGGCGAAGCATTAAGACAATGAAACATGTAACAGTACTAGATAACTTATTTCAATTAATTAATCTTTATGTAAGGTATTGGTTGAAATGAACAAGTCAGTGTCACGAGCGGGATTCGAACCTACGACCTTCGGCTAAATACGCCGCTCCTCTACCACCATTTTTCAAGGTAGAACTAAATCACGGCGCTGTCATTATGTTAAACCTTCATGACTTGAAAGTAGTTCCGTCAAAACCGACTGTGCGCCCTGAAATTGGGATTGGGCGTATCTCACATTCTTTATACATTAACAGAAACAATACCTGAAATGAATTTTATATTTATTAAAGAAAGAACTGTTAAATCTAATACTTAATCTGCTAATCGAGGGAAAAATATTTGGAAAACAAGTGATGACAAATTTTCCAGAAAACTAAATTGAATGGTCTAACTGAAAGATCTCCTTAATCTCAATTTTCTTTTCTTTATTATATTATTTGTCTCCAGCGAGAGAGAAAGAGAGAGATAAACAGAGAGCAAGGTAAGAAAATAGAGATATAAATATTGATGATAAATAAACACTCGGCCGCTCCAAACAAAGCTGGGTTAAAAGATCGTCGGTATTAAAAACGGACAATTGTGTGCTTATTCAAAACAAATAATACGAATAATTTGAACAAATGAACAATACAAAAAGCGAAAACATGACACATTGAATATGCTATATCCAAATATTTTTTAAAGTTACTAACGTTTCCCTAACAAAATTCGTCCTTCATTATTATCTTTCGGTTATATTTTGTAGGTATGAAAACATTTCGAACCGTTTACTTTTTCTGAACCTACAAGCCAATTTGTAACCCATTACAGACAACCCATTATCCACATAACGCGAAAATGTCTAATTTTTAAGACCAGAAACTTGAAAATACTATGCTTTCTTTTACAAACCAATGAATATTAATAGAGTTCTAATAATTATTAATTTTTATGCTTATACTACATATACTATTTTACATAAAACCAACGATTACTGTTATATGGAAAACAAATGATCTAAGTTTTTTTCGAACGATCCCATATTTAATTAGCGTTAGCGGCTTAGGAGTAGCTTGGCAAAAACCGTCAATAAAACGTTGCCCAATCCCTCTTTTTCAAATTGTATCAAGGACAGGATTAAAAGGCTCGGAATCACACAAAGGTTGGCCCAATTTCCCATCCTTTCTTCACCCTCCGGGCATTGGGATTCGGCAATGAACAGTCATTCGTCACGTTACGCATCATTGACAGAATCTCGTCCCATCCGTTTCCAATCCACCCTCATGAATTATCTAGCTTATGTTAATCCATGGTATGAGTGATGGATTAGTGTATTGGCCTATTTTTGTTTCCAGATGAAGAAGATATATTCATGGTGTCGGATCTCCTCCTGGGTGGTGACTTGCGGTATCACCTCTCTCAGGAAGTAAACTTTACAGAAGACTGCATTTTACTGTACGCTTGTGAATTAGGCCTCGCGCTGGATTATCTTCAAGAACAATGCATCGTGCATAGGTACGTATAATTAATTTTTTTTTGACAAATAATTTCCTGATATTTCTGCAATACAAATTTAACAAATTCAATCAAAAAATTACAGTAACAACTATGATATTTATATCTTGCATAAAGTGAAATAATAACGTACATAATATTTTGGTGTGTAGTTTTGTAGTTGTAATATTTTACTGTGGATTTAAGAGGAAATAAACCGATAATTTGGTCTTTCGAATCATTGACTTTTGTCTCTCCTCAGTGGGCACTTTTGATGTGGGGGAGTAAATTAGGAATTCGAAAGCTTTCGACCCATCCCACATCCATATTTCAAGCCGAATTGCCAACCATACAAACATGTGCACATAAAATAGATAATAAATATCTCAGGCATAATGGTAATAATATTTCCATAGAGGCGGCTAAAAAGGATCTCAATCCTAAAAGTTCAACTAAAAACTAGTCTGGAACTCTTAAAATATCATAAACTTACTGGGATCTATAAAGAGCTTGCTTATACTTTGGGGCTATCAAGTTTTTTGCCAAAACCAAACACGTGAGACCTAGCTTTTACTTACTTTTTTACAGATGACAACCAAATCTCAGAATTTTCTACAAGTGGATATTCATCGTACCTTTCTACAGTTCAATTGACAAACATCATTAGAACTTGTGACAAATTTTATGAAACAAGGATTAGTAACACAGCTTAAATTTTTCTAATGTAAACCTCACACTACAGAAATAAGATTACGTATTTCAGGAATGTGAGATTTTTCCGTTAGGTATGCGGGGTGATGAACTTGTAATTTGGTCGTTACCGATCTTTTTACTTCTGCTTATCCTCGGTGGGAATTTTATTGTTTTTTGGTGTGGGGAAGTCAAGTAAAAATTTCAAGGCCTTCGGCCCAACCCACATCCACATTTCAAGCCGAATTGCCAACCATAAAGACATGTGCACATGAAATAGATAATAAACACCTCAGGTACAATGATAATAATATTTTCAGAAGGTTAGGAATCTAGAAAGGCTCTCCAATCCTAGAAGATCAACTAAAAACTAGTCTGTAATTGTCTAACTATCATAAACTTACTGGGATGTATAAATAGCCTGCTTATACTTTGTGGCTATCAAGACTATTTTGCCAAAACCAAACGTGTCTTCAGATCTTCTCCAGATTATAACAGCCAAATATCAGAATTTTCTATAAACGGATATTCATCGTTCCTTTGTACTATTCAATTGAAAATTAACATTGGAACTTGTAACAAAGGTTAAGAAATATAGATTTGTAACACATCTAAACAATTTTAAACGTAAAAATGTGTGGCGTTTAGTGACCGTTAACCAATGATTATTTAGAGATCGTGAGGTGCGGCCTGGTATGACGTAGGTTTTAGAAAAAAATTTTCTTTATCTTGCCAAAGTTTTGATGTTTATTGAGATCATCTTCAGGGCTCAAAGTGTTTGGTTTTCGTGTAGACGTGTCATTCATATGTGTCGTCTTGAGAGGGCACACTTTTTTTTCTACAACCTACGTCACACCAGACCGCACCTCACGATCTTTAAATGTAAACCTCCTATCACAGAAATAAGATATTTTTCTAATATTTCAGACATTCAAATTTTAAGAATACGATAAAAACTTAAAGCAACAACTAAGATAATTCTGCTGGTTAAATAATAACGTGTTTAGTGTTTCAGTGTAGTGAGATTTTTCCGTAGGGTTTGCGGGGTGGTGAACCTGAAATTTAGCCGTTTCCGATTATTTACTTCTGTCTACCCTCGGTTTTTATTTTGCTGTTTTTTTGGTGTGGGAGAGTCAAGCAACAATTCAAAGTATTTCGGCCCTACCCACATCCACATTTCAAGCCGATCTGCCAGCCATAAAACGAGTGCACATGAAATAAATAATAAACATCTTAAAGGTACAATAATAATATTATCAGATAGTTAGGCAGGTAAAAAAATCTCCAATCCTACAAAATCAACTTATGTGTTTAATTATCTTTCGCGGATCCCTCAATGTAGAAATAGGCATAAACACTTAATTAAAATTTAAATTAAAAAAGAAAAAAGAATTAGTGGTCAGACGATATTACCTACCTTTTGAAAAAACTAACAATTTATTACAATAATACAAAATTGAAAAACTTAACAAAAATAAAAATGTAATCGAGCTAGGTCACTGTCTATTTTAATGTTACAGTAAAAATAATAAAATAATCTGACTCCAGTCTTTATTTAAACGCTTAAAACAAAGTAACAAAAACATTTTCTTTTTTTAAGGAAAATTTGAAAGGGTCTTCTTTTCTTCTTTTTGCTGCTTCTGATTTTTTTATCTTAGGCTTGTGTCCAAATTGTCCTTTCGAAGGCTTGATCCAATCTGCCTCTTCTCCTCTTTATCGTATCCCTTCCCTCTTTTGTTTCGCCTCCTACCGGCTGTCGGGTATTTTCAAATTTTATCGTCAAAAACTAAAACTTGTAGGGCCAAGTTTATGTAATACGATAAACACTAATTTTGACATTTCGACCAAAACATTACATAAAAAGAGTAATTAATTGAAGGAAGTAATTTGGTCAATAGACCACTAAATATTTAATAAGTAAAGCTTGTCACCCTCACATTTTGAGGATGACACTTTCAGTCACTTTTGGAAAGTGAATGGGGCACAGAATATGAGTGGGGGAAGGTCAAAGGAGGGGAGATGTTGGAGTTGAACTGGAAAAAAGAGATTAGGTGTGTTCCAGACTCGATAATGGTTGCTCGAAGCTAAAGTAAATTTTACCATAATTTAGTTACCACCAGGGTGAGTTGAGCGATTGTGCTGTATCGTTGTGTGGTTGCAGGTTGGAGTTGGGGAGAAGAGTTAAACGTCTTAGTTACCCAATGTTATAATTTTGGTTTAGCTTGTATATATATGTCTTGTAAATATACTTTGTTTTCAGTCGGTTTATTTTCAGCAAGTGTGCTTTTATTTGTTTTGTTTTAATTTTCCTCTACCCTTTACTATCCCAAGTTTTAGAAGTGTTGGACCCTTATTTGTCGTGCCTTTACAAGTGCTGCATTTCCACTTCCCCCTCTTGTCCACCGGTAATTTTACCCATTTATCATGCGTAGCTATGTCTGAGCACCTAAAGTGAAAAATACCGTTGCAAATCGTGCACTCACTTGAATCCTGATCTAAATGTGACACTTCCGAACATTCAATGCAAAACCGGGGCTGTGAAACGACGTTTGGTTCTTGGGTTTTTGTTATGTCCGCGCTGCGTAGCTGGTCAGTGGAGGAAGTAGACGGAGGTGTCCGTGTCGTCATTTTTTTATATTGGTTTTTATTAAATAATTATTAAATTTGCTTTATTGTTGAATTTCGTAGTCGAATTCAGATTGTTAAATTTCTCCTTCATATAACAGGCTAAAATTTTAATCTATTGTTGTTACGAAAAAGGATTAACGATTCCTCTAAGTGATACGGCGACCTTTTTGTATCGCAGACTTATATGAGTTTTACGAAGTGAAAAATTGTGATCTCTCTTTTTCAATTTTGTATAATTTCGTTTTAAATGATTATATATATTTTTTTTCATGCAACCTAATTTATCATGCGTTTAGATGTTTGGATCATGCAACTGTAAGGAATTTTGCCGACAATTGAGGGGTGAACAAACAAAAAAATAAATAAACGAAAATCCTAAGTCCAAAAAAAAGATAAAAAAATTATTGCTCTGCTACCAATGTGTGACGTCGATCATTCGACGGCACGACAAATAAGGGTTCAACACTTCTAAAACTTGGGATAGTAAAGGGTAGAGGAAAATTAATACAAAACAAATAAAAGCACACTTGCTGAAAATAAACCGACTGAAAACAAAGTATATTTACAAGACATATATATACAAGCTAAACCAAAATTATAACATTGGGTAACTAAGGCGTTTAACTCTTCTCCCCAACTCCAACCTGCAACCACACAACGATACAGCACAATCGCTCAACTCACCCTGGTGGTAACTAAATTATGGTAAAATTTACTTTAGCTTCGAGCAACCATTATCGAGTCTGGAACACACCTAATCTCTTTTTTCCAGTTCAACTCCAACATCTCCCCTCCTTCGACCTTCCCCCACTCAGCATTCTAATGTGCCCCATTCACTTTCCAAAAGTGACTGAAAGTGTCATCCTCAAAATGTGAGGGTGACAAACTAAGTTTTATAACTTCACGAACAGCTCCCCGTGGCCACTTCATAAGTCCCCGAGGATTGAATCCTGATTACACGACATTTGAAATGGCAAAAAGAGGGAAAATTCGAACGGTTGTAGGTTGAGATGGGGAATTGGTGTCCGAGTGGTAGCTCAAGTGGTAGAGCAGTGGCGTATTGAGCCGAAGATCGTGGATTCGAATCCTGCTCGTGACACTAACGTTTTCATTTCAACCAAAACCTTACATAAAAGGTTACACTAAATGTTGATGTTATACTAAAAATGTATTTTGTAAAGTTGGACGTTATAAGGCTGTCAAAATACTTTTGACTAGATTGTATCGAAAGCTTTCTCTATGTCAAGTGCAACTATCCCCGTATTTTTAAAAATTAAATTCTTGCATGTCGAGGTCGACAACTCTGGCTTTCAAGTAAATAAGTAAAAAAAAGTTTTACATTAAATAAGAGCCTACCAAGGTATGCAAGACTTAATCGGGACTTAAATTAAAAGGCGATTTGTTGATGTTGACAACAGGAGGTTTGCAATATCGAAAGGGGCCAAGGTTTTAAAGATATTCTCGAGAGACTTGGTCCCCGGAGCATTTCAATGCATCGGACATGGTTTTCTAAAAGGGGTTGCCAATCTACCCCGGACTAAGCTCGATAATCTTAACCATTCGGAAACCGTTCTCAAACAGCAGGACGTTATCATTCATCAATGGTATCACTCAGCATTCATCGACCATCGGCATTACGAAATGAAATCCTGAAATAGAGAATGCTGGGAAAAATACAATAATGGTTTTATTTTTTTATTGAT